ACTGCATCCATTATATAAATGTCATATCAGTGTTTGGAAACGGGGAACTGGCAAGCGAAGAGAATCTTTCTAAACCAATCAATGAATGGAAGTTTTGTGTTCATGATCGTTATTAGCCAAGTCGGAGATACGATGAATCCAACCTATTGTGATCACTGAAAACTCCATTTGAGAAACCAGCGTTTGATCTCAAAAGGACTCATGTTGCATTGCCCATTACTTATAGCGTGTATTGCTCAGTAAATAAGTTTTCGTTTCCTCTAGCTTAGAAAAACACATGATAATAACAAATTGATAATATGTCTACCTGTAGTGCTTAAACTTCCATGCATCATGTTAATAATATTTCTAATTTAAGAGAGCATTGACTGAGTTTAGTTGAATTCCTACATCAAGGCGGGGGGACACCAGAAATTGACATCACACGTTGTATCTATTTGGGGAATCGAACCCTGGTCTTCGGCGTGACGAGCGAACAATTTAACCATTAGGCTACCCCACTGCTATAGGAGAACTGTGAAATGTTATCTGATGCTTCAGTTTGATGATAGATGGTCACAGTAACACATTTATTATAGTATTTGGTTCCACAGTATTGTAGCATCTCTGACAAGGGGTTTATAAACATTTTGACATATCTGTCAGATAGATATGTCAGTGTTACTTCGCTGTGGTGTAGATTTATTCTAAGAATTTGGAAATAAGAGAAAGTTTCCAGACGGCATTTCGGGGCTATTTTGATGCAAAGTGTAAAGTGAGTGAGGCAGTGGGGTTTTACGCGCTTTTTTATATATCAGGTAAGGGGGAAAAGAAATGGGCTTCGCACACTGTACCTATGTGAAGTACCGAATCCAGGTCTTCGGCGTGACGAGCGAACGCTTTAACCACCACCGCTTTTTCACGATAAATTATGTACGGTGCACAGAAGCATAAATAATACTGTAGATCATCCAAGTCATCCTAACGCCTATAAAGTTGCAGACGAAGTTTCAGTGCTTAATTCAAAGAAGGAACTTTACTGGGCATAAATATATCTGTAACTGATCTGATCTGAAATATGTTTTTCCCAAGACCAATGAAATCTGGTTTCTTATTCATCGGTGCTATTTTTCAACGAGGAAAGAAATTGTACGGATCTAACATGTTCAATCCGAACTAAAGACAAAGAAACAAGAACGATTCAATGTTAAAGTAGAAGCATTAAAGCGACTTTGCATATCGATAGCAAGAGAATAATTTGACATTCCAGTCGCTCACACTGTACAACTGTCATGACCTAGGAACAAATCTATAGGGGACCGAATCACAGTAATACCCGATGCAATTACTGATTTCCAGTTATGTATTTATACAGTTTGTATCTATGATTTGCCTTTTACGTCCGATACAATCTGTTTGGTCAGATATTCGAGGAAGAGTATTCTGTGATGTTGGCGTTTCGTATTATTAACTCACTGTAAAGCAATGTTTGAAATATGTCTTTAATATAGAAATATTTCTCCCATGTCTATTGACGGTCTTCATTTCGGATACATATATGATCATGCTCATTCCACAATATCTGTGTGTGAATCTGTAAAACTATAATAGTAATAATAACAAGACGTAACGTAACGTGAAAGCAGAGGTCATAAATGCAATACACCGAAATATAGTTTTTATGTTTTATATTAGAACATGCAATCTATGAGAACTAACGTGGTTTCTCAAAATAGAAACAACGTCATTACAGAAGAAACTAAAATAACACTAGGATAACACTTGATTAAGCTTTGTGAGTTGGATCAAATACGATTAGACGTTAGCTTGAATATATCTTCAGCCAAATTACCTTACGTTTCATATTACACAGACGATTAGTTTTACGACTTTTTAAGTTGTATTCCAGACATATGAAGGAGAACACCGGAATTTGAAACTCGAATCCCGCCTGGCTTTCGGTGTGTCGAGTGAGCGCTGTATCTACTTGGCTACCCTACCACCCCAGAAGCAAGATCGCAGCACAACATGTATTTCTTACACGTGTAAACTCGCTTAGTTGAATGAATGGATGGATTGATGGATGGATGGATGAAAGAAAGAATGACTGTATGAATGGATTTGTGACACGTATAAACTCGCTTAGCCGAATGAATGAATGAATGAATGAATGAATGGATGAATGAATGAATGGATGGATGGATGAGACAACACCTATTCCAAAGTCATAAGAAAACTGTTGATCGTAAACTGATCACGTGTGTATGAATCGCTATCAAATAGTGACGACACCGGGTGTTAGGGTAACGCGTAATAAATACGCACTATTATTTCATACTTATTGTAAGCATCACGAAACCTTCGAAACCAACACAGAATGCTGAAGAACGACTGAGAAAATAGAACTCCTATCTGTACCATTTTGGTCCGGGAAGGAAAGTCTGAGGTTTCTGGTGTGTTGTTGAAAAAGAATAATCGCTTAATCGCCGCAGTATCCATTATAAAATTAGTGGTCCTCAGATAGTACTCCTGAGTGACAGCAGCACCTTCTGGGAATATAATTGCTGACATACAATAACACGAAGTATGTCGACGCTAGATTAAGTTGCAATGGGAGCATGACTATTGGAGGAACACTCAGCACTTGTCAAGACGCGTGACAAGAGAAAGGTGACTTGACATTAATACAAATTTGATGTCGGACATAATTCCATGAACATAACCCGGGCAATGTCTAACTTTGTTGCAGCTGACAGTTGAATTCCAAATATTCGACCTTCATGAAGTCGGTTGAACTGTCAAATAGGGTAGCTTAATTGAAGCGTTACCGGCTTAAACCTGGCGTGGTTTGACACTGTTTTGTGTTGAAGGCGGCCAGATAGGTGTGAAGCTACTTGGAAGCATTGACATCCTGCAACTGTTGCTGTTCCTACTGCCCGTGTTGTGGTTCCGTCACAGCTACCATTTTTATAATGGTTCCTACCTTTCGGACTACTACTAATCGTACTACTACTACTACTACTACTCGTACTCGTACTACTACTACTACTACTACTACTACTACTACTACTACTACTACTACTACTACTACTACTACTACTATCACTAACACTACTACTACTACTGTCACTAACATTACTCCTCACTCTACCACTAACATTACTACTACCACTATCACTGACATTACTACTACCACTATCACTGACATTACTACGACCACTATCACTAACATTACTACTACCACTATCACTGACATTACTACTACCACTATCACTGACATTACTACGACCACTATCACTAACATTACTACTACCACTATCACTGACATTACTACTACCACTATCACTGACATTACTACTACCACTATCACTGACATTACTACGACCACTATCACTGACATTACTACTACCACTATCACTGACATCACTACTACAACTATCCCTGACATCACTACTACCACTATCACTGACATTACTACTACCACTATCACTAGCATCACTACTACCACTAGTACTAGTATTACTACTACCACTATCACTGAAATTACTACTACCACTATCACTGACATTGCTACTACCACTAGTACTGGTATTACTAGTACCACTATCACTGAAATTACTACTACCACTATCACTAACATTACTACTACCACTAGTACTAGTATTACTACTACCACTATCACTGACATTACTACTACCACTAGTACTAGTATTACTACTACCACTATCACTGACATTACTACTACCACTATCACTAACATTACTACTACCACTATCACTGACATCACTACTACCACTATCACTGACATTACTACTACCACTATCACTGACATTACTACTACCACTATCACTGACATCACTACTACCACTATCACTGACATTACTACTACCACTATCCCTGACATCACTACTACCATTATCACTGACATTACTACTACCACTAACATTACTACTACCACTATCCCTGACACCACTACTACCACTATCACTGACATCACTACTACCACTATCACTGTCATCACTACTACCGTTTCGATACTACAGCAACTACTACTGATACTATTACAATTGCCATTATTACCTTTGTCACAAATACTCAAGTTTCACTGGCATTCAGCACATTAATTTCACCTGTAGAATGTACAGAAGAATTGCGTTGTCTGATACTGACGTTGAAAATGCAAAGGTGCAGTAGTAACCCACTCAGTTCGAGTTCGCTTCCCCGCTTACATTTCATACATTTACCACCATCATCACGCTTACAGTATTCCACTTTGACTCTTTACTCATTTAAACGCCCGCTGAACCTTTACCGAACCTATTAACCTCAGAAAATATTGATTTTTACCAGGACTCTGTTCATGTACTGTACAAATATATGAAGTTTCCATTGTATATATGTTGGCGGCAAGGGGGATAGGCCCTACCGAAGGTGCTTAGCTGTATTAATTATCTTCAGAGTAGTACATTATTATGATAGCAATTTTCGGAAAACTTCGTGACTCACAAACCCCGGCCATCCCCAAAGGTAGATGAGCAGAGCGATTTCACATTGTGTGAAGGATTAAACACCAAGCCAGCATATGAATTCCGTTTCAAAATTCGAATACGACAGTCATGTAGTTTGCAAAACCAATTCAGAGATGCAGTGTTCATTAGGGTGATGAAAGAAATGTCAACGACTAATACGCATTTAAAAGTTTTTTGTTCAGAGCTCATATAATTTCATCCCAAATTAGTAATATTGGTGACAGCCTTTCCATTTTAGGCCTTCGAGTCATATTCATCGTGATATGTCGCATGTATATATCACGGCGAGTCCTCAGGTTTGAAATTATCACGGATCCATAAGTTAAAACAGCAAATCCCCAAAGGTTTCAAGTTGGCATACGCCACATTAGTCTTGTTGAATTGTCGATATCACTGCGATTGCAGCCAACACAAGCACATTGACCACGCCCCCTGCGTGTGTCCCAGCCTTGCGTGGGAAAACACCTCAATAGCGTGTGTGATCGATGCCTCTCTGAAAGCATTGTATAAAGACTGTCACTAGTACAGAATCACCGTCAGACTCGAAGGAACGTCTGTCCACTCACCAAGGGAAGCGAGGCAACTACCGGCTAATACTACACTACCCCTCAACGTTTAAAGGTAAGGTTTAGGTCTTACCATAGAAGGAGATTCAGAAGTCTAGCAAGCGTATGATGATCTCGATACAGCTGTTTGGATATTGTTATAAAGTGTCAAAGTTATTTAAAGTTAAATTTAAAATACATTTTCCTGGAAAATGAGTTTTCTTTCCCAGTTTCACATCTTTATGATTTAAATAATTCAGTTATGATTTCTTAAAGTTAGAAATCGGCTGATTAATGTTATCATCAATCTGTAGGGCGTTTTTACTGCGAAGGTTTGATATCTGCAAGTGTATAATTTTTTAGTTTATTAAAGTCGTGGATATCAGCTGCTAATGTATTGGCATGCATTAAATATCACGAGACATGAAATACTTCACTCCTAACATATAAAACAAGACAAATGTATTTTTAACTTCTTCTCGGAGTTATGTTATGACACAGAACTGTTGCAAAGAGAGAGCCATGAAAAGTCAGTTAAATGTCAATGTCGGGCTTGTCCATTCAACGAAACTGTCGCAGACATCGATTAAATATGAAATAGGGGATTGACTTTTATCTGAGCTGCTACATTATATAACAGGCTTTTCACTCACACATCCATTGTGGGGAGAAGGTTATAAGACGGGATGAAATAGGAGGAAACGCGACATAACAAACGTCTATAATATATTATAAAACAGTCTTCTGTACTGATAATGTCTGTCTCATTTGCCTGTTAAGGGTGCGCATGTAATCGATTGTCTTAAAATTCTTAAGGTACGGCAAAGGTAGTCTGATGGATATGGTGTTCGTTCGCAACACTGAATACTCGGTTCAACTCTAACTTTCTCGATGTGTTCTGTAATTTTGTAATGATCAATGATTCATTGATAAGTGTAAGGAAAAAGAAAAGAAAAAGGAAAAATTCAACCCCAAATAAATGTCGCTATTAAGTAAAAGTGCATGAAACGTGTTTTGAAATCCATAGCTTACTATAAAGATTTATAACCCACACTCTGTATGCTGAATCCGGGAATAATAGACCACATCGCTTCATGTCAATGATATGCCTACGACATAAGTTTACAGTGGATCAAGTTCATACCACAATGGCACTAACAGGAATCCAGGATGTACTTGTTCCCTGGGGAAGTGTCTGCACTTTTATTTCATTGCAGTCTATCAATAAATTTGCCAATCTGTTCCTTTGGGTGCCGACCTGTTCAATAATGGCACTAGACACATGGAAGATTGGTTAACCACTGACAAAAAAGCCGAAAGTCAAGGGCGATTAACTACTATCTATCTGCTGAATTATGCTAGAAATACACACGCTACTCTCGACTTTCAACACCGCGAACACTTCCCTCCGATCGCCATGACGTCTTCTTCAGTTCAGGTTACTGTTCGAAGGTTCCGAATTCTGAAAGGTCAGCTCTCACCATTAAACTGAGCTTCCTCAAGTTGACACGTTGCCCGACACCTCTGAAAACCAGAGGCGTGAATTAAACACGCCGAGGTACAATTATTCTCCTTTCTGCTTGAAAGACATCTTGTTTGTTTATGTAACAAGACAAATGCCACAAGAATATATTCTGATGACAATCGCAGGCCATATGTAAGGGTAAGATCCTGAAATCATAACGGAACGCCTGAGACGAGTGGATCCTGCCGCAACTGCGGAATCTAACTCTTCACAGGTAATGATTAGGCAAATGGGCCTACAGAGGTTCAGAGGCGTGATGGAACATTTCTCCTTTTCTCCTTGAAAGACATCTTGTTTGTTTATGTAACAAGACATATGCCATATGTATATATTGCGATGGCAATCGTAAGCCATGTGTAAGGCTATGAAAGGTATTTTGGCATGAATCCATCCAAATAATCATCATTAAATGTTGAAAGTAGCTTATGCGTGTACCTATACACATGGACAAAACCGGGTTTGATTCCTAACATAGTTTTACAGTAAATTACTGTTTAACCCAACTCAAAATGACCACTAATTTTAGTTCGTTATAACCTTTGTTCGTTATACGTATTTCGCCGGGACCCTAAGAATAGTTCGTTATATGTGTGAGTTCGTGATAAACGAAATTTACTGTACATTGAAATGTGTATTCGAGTGATGCCGCGCTTTGCTGAGAGTCGTTTATAATCAATCATAGCAAATAACATCACAAGATCATAAGTTGTAACATCTTAAGATCATAACGGCACGCCTGCGACGAGTGGATCCTGGCGCAAATGCGGGACATAACTCTACACATTAAGTATTTACTCTACACTTTAAGAGGCCTCTGTGCAAATGAATCTCTGATCAACTTGCGCCCTTACATTGCGCTGAATCCTTACTGATACTACAAAATGTTCCTACCTGTCTAGCTAGTCTGTTTATTCATTTCGATACAGTCAAAGAACGCTTTGAAAGCAACACAGACATCATTGTTTTCGATGATATTTCAATGATTTCTCTGTACCCAGATGACTCATCACTTCAACATTCAATATGCTTAAACACAATAATAGATACACATTTTGGCAAATTGCAAACAGACCCTTCCCTTTACCGCTTAAAACACAATCTAGTCCGCCAGTTTCAACGAAATTTGTAAATAATTCATAGAGAGTGTGCCGATTTCGAACCCATTTATTCGAAAACGTATCCTTTCCTCAAGCAATAGAGTTCCCCTCAAGATAACATTAAACAGCCAAAATGTCATTAATCACAGGGAAACCCATTAAGATGTTGCCAGAGAGTGAACACTTTCTCTTTTATCTTCATGTCCCCTCGTGTTCGCGTTCATTAATAACTAAAAAAGTTGGAGATGAAATATGTTTGTTTTGTTAGTCACAGACCCGCTTCTTGTCATCTTCTCTGTGATATCTAAATATTTTGATTTACATACTTTCTTTTTTCATACATGCTTTATTGCAACTGGTTTGATCTTTGTTTCTTGGTAAAACAAGTCAGTTGTCACGGATTTCTACTTCAATCAAAACCTAGTCAGGCAGTTCCCCCTTGTCTTGTATCTCCTTACCGGGTTATCAACTTCTAGTAGATGGAGCTACTTTCTGCTAGGTAATGCACAACATAGATCATCTCCTCCGCCGGCTCATGTGTTGAGAATGACTAGTTTATGAGGAGAACCAGCCCATTCGCTCTATCAGAGGATCACTCACCAGACTGTGGTGTACAGCAGCTCAGCTACAGGGAAGTGATCACAGATTATAACATTACCACTGTCTAAGGATTCCCTTGTTGGGATAAATCCCTATGATGCCCCAGAGATTCGGACAATTTTGTTGCCAGGATCGCTGTTTCAGTTCATGTTCATTTGACTTTGTTTACGAGGCCGTGAGTTAGTACCTTCAAGCTGAGATAACCGCCACTTGATTCCGGGTTCCATTTTATAGGTAAAATGAGTAGGTGATTTAGGTTTAACGCCATTTTGAGTAGAACTGCTGTTCTATCAGCCCTTGTGATCCTAATGGACATCTAGGAGGGTGCAGGTCTGGGATAGTTACAATTTTTGTAACAAGGTAATGCTGCTTATAATCATTTGTATGTAAGGGCCATAAATTGGATTCGACCCTACGATCATCGGATCCTGGTGCACGTTAAGGGCACCATTTCACCCTGCCAATATCGGAGCCTTAGACGCTTAAGTTATCCGTGCCCACAAAGTATACACAAAAGCATCAAACGCTACCGTGAATGAATTTGGTCCTTTCACACAGTCTTCGTTTGACTGAACTTGAGATGCAGGCTTCAGAATTATTGACATTGCAATTGTCTTAATTGAAAATGTGCTCAGCCATTTTCCTCATTTTTTACGAGGAAGTAATTCATCTTCAAGTACATCAATTCTAAAAGAAACAAGAAGGTCAGATCATTTTGAAATGAAAAATCCTCTTGGCCTAAAGGGGAGTGATGTCTTTTTCTAATTCATTCACGTGATTGACATCCAGGAATCTATGGCAAGAGACAAAACATTCGATACTCCAAACATAAGATTTGGCGAAAAACGAATAGCTACAGGTAAATCAGTACTGCCTGGACTATCCAACTGTTTTGTTGACGAGATGGGAAATTGAGAAGCACCCACTCAGTATTCTATAGTTAAAACTGGCATGCAATCATTGTGTAATCTCTCAGAAATCTCCCAAGGATGAAAAGATCCAGGTGAGTTAATCTCAAGCTGCCCTCTGCGTTCTAGAAATCTCTTAGTCATAAAATAATGCATTCCGGCAGCCCACTTAAACATAAAATAATATTATGAAGGTCTTCATTAATGACAGAATTAGCCCAAACGGACATGTTTACCATTCTACAGCAGACCTATTTCATTTTCACCCTTAAGAAAGTCATCCCTTTGATATATTCTTAGTGATCTTCAAAACAGAGTTCTCGAAAACATCCCTACGAATGTGTGTGGGTGCTTCTTGTTACCCACGCAGCTAAGAGAATGGCAAGCATCTAAGCCCAACGCTTACTAGTTAAGCGGTATATTGAGATGGCTGAGCGTGCCTGGTCCTCCTGTCCCGTGTCATCGGGCGCCAGCTTAACTCCACCAGACGTTACAATCCTGTCAAAGAAGGTGTTGGGGCCGTGACATATCCAGGCGCCAAATCTATTGTTGAGACAATGCTTCACAAGAGATACTGCGTCTAAATTACATGCTGTATTGCCGATTTCCGAGACTAGATTCCGCAGCGTTCCTACGGGAAGCTGTCAGGATGAAAGTGAAAAAACCATTCAATGTCCGTAACTTCAAACCCCAGAGCTTACAGTATTTGGAAAGGTTCTCGCGTTCTTCCTTCTCTTGAAACGACTAGCCCCTTTAGCTATGTAATAGGGTATTTGAGAGGTATTGAGAATTATCACCTTTAACACCCATCTCTTCATTGCAACTTAAAGTAGAAGGGGTTTGTCACAGTTTCAGGATTTTGTAAGTCCCAAATGAATTTCAATTCCAATGGGCATTTTAAGAGAGTCCTTGAATGAAACCTTAGCATGTCACAACCACGCGAAAC